CAGGTGACACCTTGTGGGTGATGCCACCCATTGTTGAAGGCACACTGGAGACTAGGGGACAAATGTCACCCTCAGGACAAAGGAAGGGACAGCAAAGGACAGCAACTGTCACCAAAGCATTGTTAAGAGTGACCCTGAGGGGACCAAAGGGACACTGAGGGACATGTGTGACCCCCAAGACCCACAGGTGACACTGTGTGGGTGACACTGCCCATGGTGGGAGGGACATTGGGGACCTGGGGGACAAGTGTCACCCTCAGGACAAAGAAGGACCCTACAAGGGACAGTAAATGACTCTGAGTAGAGTAAGGGGACATCAAGAGACACACGCCACTCCCAAGACCAACAGGTGACACCAGGTGACACCGCGGCCCGAGCAGCAGCTCTGAGCGCCACAGAGGTGACAATGACACCAGGGGCTCCCCAGAGGGTGACAAAGCCCCCGTGGGTGGTGCAGGGTCCCCGAGGGGGTGGTGGTGGCACTCACGTTGGCGGGGGTGACGCTCGGGGACACGGCGGGGGCAGGGGCGCGGCTGGAGCCCGTCGGTGGCTCTGACCCAGAGACGCGGCGCTTCTTCGACAGCGGGGAGCTGGACATCTGGGGACAGGGACACCAGGGACACTCAGGGACAGCTGGGGACAGTCACGGACTGCTGGGGACACTCAGGGACTGCTGGGGACAGGGACACTCAGGGACAGGAACACACAGGGACAGGGACACTCAGGGACTGCTGGGGACAGTCACGGACTGCTGGGGACAGGGACAGTCAGGGGATACCTGGACACAGGGACAGTCAGGGACAGCTGGGGACAGGGACACTCAGGGACAGGAACACACAGGGACAGGGACACTCAGGGACAGTTAGGGACAGAGACAGTCAGGGACACTCAGGGACAGCTGGGAACAGGGACACTCAGGAGACACCTGAACACAGGGACAGTCAGGGGACACCTGGAGACAGGGATAATTGGGGACAGCTGGACACAGGGACAGTCGGGCACAGGACAGGGGACACACAGGGACAGGTGGGGATGGGGACAGCTGGGGACAAGGTGAGGGTCAGGGGACAGCTAGATAACAGCTGAGGTCAGGGACAAGTCAAGGGACAGCTGGGGACACCTGGAGACAAGGACAGGTCAGGGGACACACGGGGACAGCTGGGGACAAAGAGAGGGTGGGGATATCCATGGGCAGAGAGGAGCTGGACAGCTGGGGACATCTGGGGACAGGAAGGAACTGGACATTTGGGGACTGCCAGGGGTCAGCTGGACATTTAGGGACAAGGACAGAGGACAGGCAGGGTCACACGAGGACAGTGCTGGGGACAGCAGGGACACTGGGAGAGACACGGGGTGATGCTGGGGGCAAGAGGTGACACCTGTGGGGACCTGAGGTCACCCACAGCAGGGGGTGACACACAGGGTGACACATCGGGTGACGAGAGGTGACACCGGGGACAGGGGATGATGCTGGAAGTGACACCAGGTGACACCGGAGGTGGCAGCGAGGGCCACGCAGGGATGGAGAGGGTGATGCAGGGTGACACCAGGTGACAGCGGGGACACAGAGAGTGACACCAGGTGAATGGGGTCACGGGCGGGGCCAGCAGGTGCGACAGTCCCCGCGCTGTCCCATTGGTTGTCACCGCCCTGGTGACACCAGGGACGGACAGGGCGACACGCAGGGATGGAGGCACACACAGAAGGGTGGGGAGGGACACTTGGGGACAGCGAGGTGGCACTAAGGGACATCAGACCCCACCAGCACCCCGCAGACCCAGGCACAGCGCCGCCCCCCACCCCCGAGAGCGCTCCCAGCACCGGGGGTCCCATCCCGGGGCGATCCCGCCCTCGGGGCCTCCCCTGCGGGGGTTCCCCATTAACCGGGGGGTTCCCCATCCCCGGGGAGCCCAACCGGGGGGGTTCCCCATCCCCGGGGGTGCCCGACCGGGGGTCACGGTCCCGGCCGGCGCTCCCCATCCTGAGGGTCCCGGTGTGAGGGGGGGGCGGTTCCCCCTCACGGCTCCCCCCCGGCCCCCTCAGGCCCGGCGCCGGCTCCCCCAAGGCGGGGCCGCGCTCGCCGGCCCCGGGACCGCCTCCCCGCGCTCCTGCAGCCCGGGGCAGCCCCCGAGGACCCCCGGGCTCGCCCCCGGCCCCGCACCAATGTCGCTGTCCAGGCCCCGCCGCCGGGTCCCGCCCGCTCCGCTCGGCTCCTCCGCGACAAGATGGCGGCCGCGGCCGCTGCCACCCGCCGCCCCCTCCCTGCGCGAGCGAGGCCCCGCCCCCGGCGCTCTCCTATTGGTCAGCGCCGCCCGGCGCCGCGCTCTGATTGGTTGTCACCTCCCGCCACCGCCCGCCCCCTCCCTGCCCGCCTCGCCCGACGCGAGGATTGGGCGGGCGCGCCCCGGCTGGCCACGCCCCTTTTCCTGCCGCAGGGCCCCGGATGGGGAAGGCCACGCCTCCTGTGCAGCCTCGTGACGAGGCGTGACTCGCGCCGCCCCAACGGCGGCCGAGAAGGGACAAGGGGCTGCAAAGGGCGGAGTCCAGGGGGCTCTGGGTAAATACGGGGGGTCTGGGAGCTGTAGGGGCCCGTGGGGGGCTATGGGGATCTAAGCCGAGTTTTTGGGGGGTTATGGGGGACGATCAGAGGTTCCTAGGAGAGGTTAAGGAGCCCACAGGAAACCGCGGAAGACTTTACATGGTGTCATGCCCAATTACACAACTTAGTAGAACTACCGAGAAAAAATTAAATAAAGGCATGCGAAGTAATGCAGGAACCTAGAGAAGCCTAAGGGGGACCCCCAGAGGCACAGGGGGCTACACACAGGAGCGTGAGGAGGACCTGAGGGGCTCTAGGGGCCCGAGGGGGCTCTGCGGCAGCCCAGGGGGAGCGTGGGGAGCCTCGGGGGTCTCCAGAGCCCTAGGGGGGCTCACCCGCAGGTTATGTGGGGCTTGAGTGGCCCTAGAGGGCCATGGGGGGGCATAGAGGGGCTGTGGGGAGCTATAGGGGCACATGGGAGGGGCCGTGAGGACCAAAGCGCCATTTCCGCGTGGTGTCGCTGCCCGGTGACGTCACAGAGCCGCAAGGTCCGCTGGGAGATGTAGGCTATTGAGTATAGAGGAGAAACGGCGAGGGCCAGAGACCCATTTCCGCGTGTCGCTGCCTGGTGACGTCACGGAGCCGCAAGGGCAGCTGGGAGATGTAGTTCCTTTTTCCTACCCCCAAAATAAAAGGCGCAGGAGTCGGGGGGGGACCCAGAGCTTTATTCACAAACCAACAGCGGGGTCCGGGGTCACTCCGGGGGTCCGAGGGTCACTCCGGGGGGGGCAGGGGGAGGCGCTTGGGGTCGTAGTAGTTGGAGGTGAGCAGGGGCAGCCCCCGGCGCTCCCGCTCCCGCACCAGGATCTCGGCCTCGCGCCGCGCCCACTGCTGCAGCCTGCGGGGAAGGGGACGGACAGGTGAGCCCCACACCTTGGGGACATCCCAAACTCCCTCCCAGGTGTGCAAACCCTCCTCCTGAATGGCCCAGGTGTCCCTGTAGGTCCCCATAAGCCCCCCAGAGTCCACCCTAATCCCCCCCAGTCTCCTATAGCTCCCCCAGAGGGCTCTGCAGACCCCTCAGTCCTCTCCCAGGTCCCCCATGGGCTCCTACAGACGCTCCCAGAGCTGCCAAGGGCCCTACAGACCCCAAAACCCCCAAAGAAATAATAGAAACCCCCGCAGGCTGTACAAGGGGCCTTGTTGGAATTCCCTTGGGAGCTCCTACAACACTCTCAGGAGACCCTACAACACCCACAGACCCCCCAAAAAAACCCCTATAAACCCCAAAGATGTACTTGAGAGCCCCTCCATAGCTTTGCCAGGAGCTCCCCTTGTGGCTGCCCCCCTCCCCCCTTCACCGTGGGGGGTTTCCCAGGTGAGACCCCCCCGCTCACGGACCCGTAGTCGGGCAGGTAATGCACGAAGACGGAGCCGAGGACGATGGCGATGGAGATGCCGGCCAGGAAGGCGGCGCGCATGTTCAGCACGTCGGCGTCGGGGTCGGCCGAGAAGCCATGATAGTCGGGGTTCTGTGCGGGGGAGGGTCCCGTGAGCCCCAGGGACCCCCAGCTGTGCCCCAGCCCCTCCCCCAGGACCCCCAGGTGTGTCCCAGCCCCTCCCCCAGGACCCCCAGGTGTGTCCCAGCCCTGTGTCCCAGCCCCTCCCCCAGGACCCCCAGGTGTGTCCCAGCCCACCCTCAGGAGCACTGAGGGCCAAAGGAGCCACCTGAGCCCCAACCCCAGGTGTGTCCCCTCCTAAATCCCAGCACTGGCCACGCCTTTTACTGGCCCCGCCCTTCCCTGAGACACACCCATGGTCCCCAAATAAGTCCCCCCCAATTCAGACCAGGCCACGCCCCTTCCAGGCCCCACCCCCTCACAGCGCGTGGTGAAGCCCCGCCCCAAATTAGGCCCAGCCCCACAAAGCCCCGCCCCTTCCCAGCGCGCTCCAAGATGCCAAAGCTCCGCCCACAACCTTTAAACCACGCCTCTTCAAAAATATACCACGCCTCTTTTTAGTCCTTGACATCAAGCCCCGCCCCCAGCCCCGCCCTTGGCCACGCCCCCACCAGCCCCACAGAAACCCCTCCCGCCCCACCGCTTTGCCCTTGGCCGCTCACCTTCCTCTGCGCCACCAACATCGGCTCCTCGTCGTGCGCGTCGGCCCCGAGCGGCCGCGGCAGCGCCACGGCCCCGGGTGACCCCGCCGAGCGGCCCCGAGCCCCGGCGGGCAGCGCCCGCAGCGCCCGGAGCGCCCGCCACAGCGCCGCCATCTTACCCCGCCGCTCACGCCTCGCCTCTTCCGCTCCACCCGACCAATCGCGACCTCGGATTTGCGTTTCGCCCCGCCTCCGCGCCGCACAGCCAATCACAGCGCAGTGTCTACTTTGTCCTGCCCACTCCCTCACTGTGACCTCGCCTACTTTTGCTCTGCAGCCAATCATAGCCTGCCGTAACGCTGCACCGCCCCCTCTACATTATGGACTAATAAGAACGCGGAGTTGTTTGACTGGCGGGAGCACCGACCAATGGGAGCGCGGCGAGGGCGGGCGCGCGGGACGGGCCCGGCTGAGCGGGAGCGGCGCCGCCATTTTGGGGCCGGGGAGCGGCGGCGGCGGCGGCTGCGGCGCCGGGGAAGGTCAGGACGGCCGTGAGGGGCGGAACGGGCCCGGCCGGGATGGGCAGGGGTCTGTGGGGAGGGGAGTGGCCTACCGGAATGGGCGGGGCTGACCGGGAGGGGCGGGGCTGAACGGAACTCCCGGTGCAGTTCGTGAGGGAGGGGGTGTGAGAGCGAGAACCGGGGCTGGAATCTTCATGCTAATTAGGGGGTGGGGTGCTGAATGTTAATGATGGGGCGTGGCGCTGTATGCTAATTAGGGGCGGGGCATGCGTGTGGTGTCTGCTCCTCCTCCCCTGCACAGGGCCCAGTTCATCCCAGTTCATCCCAGCTCCCCCCTTGTTCCCCTTTTGGCCTTCCCATTTTTCCATAAAATTTTCCAGTTATTCTTCCCAGTCCATCCCGGTGCTTTCCAATTCCTTGAGTTCTCTTCCCACCGAACCCCAGTCCATCCCAGTAACCCCCAGTTCCTCCCAGTCTGACCAGTTTTTGCCCTCACAGGTGCTGGCGCCATGGAGTATGAGCGCAGGTGAGGGGGAACCTGGGGATCCCCAAAATTCGGGACTGGTGGGGGGGGTGGGAACATCTGGGCAGCTGTTGAGGACCCCAGGAAATGAAATTTAAAATTTTGGGGAGGTGAGGGGACATTTGGGGATGCCATGGCGGGGAGGGGTGAGGGGACATTTGGGCTTTGCTGAGGGCAGAGGGGACTTTGGGCGCCCCAGGGGGTGGAAGGAGCCATTTGTGGTCCACATTTGGGGTCCAGGATTTGGGGTCAGGATTTGGGGCCCAGGATTTGTTGTGCAGATTTTGGATGCAGAATTTGGGGTCCAGGAATAGGGGTTCAGTATTTGTTCTGCAGATTTGGGGGTCCACATTTGAGCTGCAGATTTGAGGTCAGGATTTGGGGTCCAGGAATAGGGGTCCAGGATTTGGGGTCCAGGAATAGGGGTCCAGGATTTAGGGTGAAGATTTGGGGTCCAGGATTTGGGTGAAGATTTGGGGTCCAGGATTTGTTGTGCAGATTTGAGGTCAGGATTTGGGGTCCAGGAATAGGGGTCCAGGATTTAGGGTGAAGATTTGGGGCCCAGGATTTGTTGTGCAGATTTGGGGTCAGGATTTGGGGCCCAGGATTTGAGGTGCAGATTTGGGGTTCAGATTTGTTGTGCAGATTTGAGGTCCATATTTGGGATCCATATTAGAGGTCCATATTTGGGATCCAGGATTTGGGGTCCAGTATTTGGGGTTCAGATTTGGACTCCAGGATTTGGGGTTCAGATTTCTTATGCGGATTTGGGGTCCATATTTGTGTCCATATTTGGGGTCCATATTGGGGTCCATATTTCGGGTCCATATTGGGGTCCATATTTGGGGTCCCTGTTTGGCCCCCCTGGCCCAGCTGCCCCTCTCCCAGGGGTGGCCGTGGGGACCGCACGGGGCGTTACGGGGGCGCCCCGCCCCCCTCCGAGGACGGCTCCCGCGCCCAGCGTGACCATGACTATCGCGACATGGACTACCGCGGCTACGGGGGACCCCCCGAGGGGCCCCCCGCTGCCGGGACCCCTCCTCAGGTGGGTGCTGGCTGCGGGGGAGGGGGCTCAGGCGGCTGCCGGGAGCCTGGGGGGTTTTGTTTTGTATTTTGTCAGAGTTAAACGTGTGAGATTGTGTTTTTTCTTTAGAGTTAGGTGTCTGTTAGTTTTTATTTATGTTGTGGTTCTGTAAGTTGTGAGTTTCACGCTGTTTTAGTGAAATAGACTAAAAGTGCAATGAAATAATTAATTTTAGGTAGTAACAATAAACTAGTAAGTGCTACGTAAGTGTATTAAGTATGTAAATATATAAATGTATAAAATATGTACAGATATATTCTGCAATGCATTTAAAAATACGCAGTACATAAATATATAAATGTATAAAAATAGTTTTGATAAGTATAATCAAAATAATTTTTGTGGTTCTTTAAGGATAGTCTATTTATTTAAGAAGCTATACTTGAATTGTTTCTTAGTTCTAATTTAATAACTAAGTAATTGTGGTTTGTAATACAGGCTTTTTTACCTAACTTTAAAATATTACTTAAATTTGTGGTGAAGGAAGTGAGAGACAAGGATTAGTTTGTATGTTAAAATGTTTTTATGTGTGTGTTACTGTGTTATAGAACTTGAAACTGTAAGGTTTTTTTCGTAGGACGTTATGTGTTTTTATATCAATTATATACTTATGACCTTAGTTTTTTAGTTTATTTTGGTGGTTTTCTTTATGATTTCAGTTTAAATGCAGTATTTTTTGTGGGGTTAGTATTTCTTAGTGCAGAGCATTTAAAATTCCCAGTGCCTGGGGCTCTAACATGACCCCTCCCTGCCCCGTTCCAGGCATCCTACGAGAACACGGAGCCCCCCCGGAAGCGGGAGCCCCCCCGGGAGCCCCCCCGGGACCCCCCGGCGCTGCCGTTCGGCGCTGACGGCGATTACCGGGACCAGGATTACCGGGAGGGCGCCGAGGAGGAGCCGCGGGCCAGCACCATCGTCATGCTGCGCATGCTGCCCCAGGCGGCCACCGAGAACGACGTGAGCCCCGCCCCCTCCCTGCATGGCCACGCCCCCTCCCGGGTGGCCACGCCCCTCTTCACCAGGCCCTGCCCCTTGCACTGATGACCCCACTCCGTTCTGGGATGGCCCCGCCCCTCTTCATCGTGGCCCCGCCCCCTGCTCAAAGAGCTCATCTCTCTTCTGGGATGGCCCCGCCCCTTCGCTGGGATGGCCCCACCCCTCTTTGCTGTGGCTCCGCCCCCTGCCATGATGGCGCCACTCCCTTAGGGGGTGGCCACGTCCCCTGCCTGGGGTGGTACGTGTGTCCCTGTGGGTGATATCACGTGTCCCAGGTGACGTGTCCCCGTGGGTGCTGTCCCCTGTCCTGGGTGCTGTGTCACTGTGTCCCCATGTCCCCGAGTCCCTGTGGGTGCTGTCCCCGAGTCCCTGTGGGTGCTGTCCCCTGTCCTGGGTGCTGTGTCACTGTGTCCCCATGTCCCCGAGTCCCTGTGGGTGCTGTCCCCTGTCCTGGGTGCTGTGTCACTGTGTCCCCATGTCCCCGAGTCCCTGTGGGTGCTGTCCCCATGTCCCCGTGGGTGCTGTCCCGCTGTCCTAGGTGCCGTGTCACCGTGTCCCCATGTCCCTGTGGGTGCTGTCCCCCTGTCCTAGGTGCCGTGTCACCGTGTCCCCATGTCCCTGTGGGTGCTGTCCCCGTGGGTGCTGTCACTGTGTCCCCATGTCCCCGTGTCCCCGCAGATCCGGGCACAGCTGCAGGCGCAGGGGGTGCAGCCCCGTGAGGTGCGGCTGATGCGCAACAAGTCCTCAGGTGAGTCCTACCTGGGCCCCTCCTGCTCACCTAAACCCCTCCCCTGCACACCTGGGTGCTTCCCCTGCTCACGTGAGCCTCTCCCGTGCTCACCTGGGCCCCTCCTGCTCACCTGGGCCCCTCCCCTGCTCACCTGGGTGCTTCCCCTGCACACCTGAGCCCCTCCTGCTCACCTGAGCTCTTCCTGCTCACCTGGGCCCCTCCTGCTCACCTGGGCCCCTCCTGCTCACCTGGGTCCTTCCTGCTCACCTGGGCCCCTCCTGCTCACCTGAGCTCCTCACCTGAGCCCCTCCCCTGCTCACCTGAGCCCCTCCCCTGCTCACCTGGGCCCCTCACCTGAGCCCCTCCCCTGCTCACCTGGGCCCCTCCTGCTCACCTGAGCCCCTCCCCTGCACACCTGAGCCCCTCCCCTGCTCACCTGGGCTCCCCATCCATCACACCTGGGCTCTCTTTAGGGTGGGGGGCACCCTGACATCCAGGTCCCTTGGAGGGGGGAGGGTCCCTGCCCTGCCCATACCAGGGGGCACCTGGGTGGGGGGGTGGTGGTCCTGTTCCTTAGGGGCACCCAGGGGTGTCTGTCCCCTCCTTAGGGACACCCAGAGGAGCTGGTTCCATCCTTAGGGGACACCCAGGGGTGCCTGTCCCGTCCCTAGGGGCACCCAGGGGTGTCTGTCTCCTCCCTAGGGGCACCCAGGGGTGTTCATCCCCTCCTTAGGGACACCCAGGGGTGTCTGCCTCCTCCTTAGGGACACCCAGGGGTGTCTGTCCCCTCCCTAGGGGCACCCAGGGGTGTCTGTCTCCTCCCTAGGGGTGTCTGTCCCCTCTTTAGGTGCACCCAGGGGTGCTTGTCCCTTTCTCAGGAGCACCCAGGGGTGCTTTTGCCAGACTTAGGGGGCACCCAGGGGTGCCTGTCCCCTCCCTAGGGGTGTCTGTCCCCTCTTTAGGTGCACCCAGGGGTGCTTGTCCCTTTCTCAGGAGCACCCAGGGGTGCTTTTGCCAGACTTAGGGGGCACCCAGGGGTGCCTGTCCCCTCCCTAGGGGTGTCTGTCCATTCCCATGAGCTCTCACAGGTTCTGGTTCCATCTTTAGGGGCACCCAGGGGTGCCAGTGTCATCTTTAGAAGCACCCAGGGGTGCTTCTGGCAGGTTTAGGGGGCACCCAGGGGTGCTGTACTGACCTCAAAGGGTTCCAGGGGTGCTGATCCCATTCCTAGGGGCACCCAGGGGTGCTGGTCTTCTTTTTAGGGGCACCCAGGGGTGCCTGTCTCCTTCTCCGGAGCACCCAGGGGTGCTGGTCCCATCCCCAGGGGCACCCAGGGGTGTCAGTTCCCTCTCTAGGAGCACCCAGGGGTGCTGGTCCTCTTCCAAGGGGCACCCAGGGGTGCCAACATCATCTCTAGGGGCACCCAGGGGTGCCTGTCCCCTCCTTAGGGGCACCCAGGGGTGCCAATGCCATCTCTAGGAGCACCCAGGGGTGCTGGTTGCGTTCCTTAGAGACAGCTGGGGTGTCTGTTCTCTTCCTGAAAACACCCAGGGGTGCTGATGCCACCCTTAGGGCCCCCCAGAGGTGCCAATCCCTACCAAGGGGCACCCAGGGGTGCCTGTGCCCTCCACTGGGGCACACAGGGATGTTTGTGTCAGGCTTAGGGGGCACCCAGGGGTGCTGGTCCCATCTTTTGGGGCACCCAGGGGTGCTGCACCGGGCTGGAAGGGCACCAGGGCCACTGATCCCATTGCCAGGGGTGCCCAGGGGTGCTGGTACCATTCTCCAGGGCACCTAGGGGTGTCTCTCCCCTCCCCAGGAGCACCCAGGGGTGCTCCTCATTTCCCCAGGGGCACCCAGGGGTGCCAGGTTTCTCTTTAGGGAGCACCCAGGGGTGCCCATCCTGTCTTTAGGAACACCCAGGACTGCCTGTCCCCTCCCTAGGGGCACCCAGGGGTGCCAGTCTCATCTCTAGGGACATCCAGGGGTGCTGCACGAGACTTGGGGGGCACCCAGGGGTGCTGGTCCCATTCTTAGTGGCACCCAGGGGTGCTGGTCCACTCCACAGGGGCACCCAGGGGTGCCAGTGCTGTCTCTAGGGGCACCCAGAGGTGTCAGTCCCTTCCTCAGGAGCACCCAGGGGTGCTGATCCCTTCTCTAGGGGCACCCAGGGGTGTCAGTTTCCTCTTTAGGGGCACCCAGGGGTGCTTGTCCTCTTCTCAGGAGCACCCAGGGGTGCTGCACCAGACTCAGGGGGCACCCAGGGCTGTTGATCTCATTTTTAGGGGCACCCAGGGGTGCCATTCTCATCCTTAGGGAGTACTCAGAGATGTTCTTTGTCCCCTTAGGAGCACCCAGGGGTGCTTGTCCATTTCTCAGGAGCACCCGGCGGTGCTTGTCCCCTCTTCAGGAGCACCCAGGGGTGCTGTGCCAGACTCGGGGGGCACCCAGAGGTGCCAGACCCTCCCCAAGGAGCACCCAGGGGTGCTGAACCCAGCTCAGGGGGCACCCAGGGGTGCCAGTCCTGTCCCCAGGGGCACCCAGGGGTGCCAGCCCCCTCCCCAGCCCCCTCCCCAGGAGCACCCAGGGGTGCCAGCCCCCTCCCCAGCCCCCTCCCCAGGCGCACCCAGGGGTGCTGAGCCCAGCCCGGTCCATACCGGTCTGTACTGGTGTGTACTGGTCCATACCGGTCTGTACTGGTCTGTACTGGTCTGCTCTGGTCCATACTGGTCTGTACTGGTGTGTACTGGTCCATACCGGTCTGTACTGGTCTGTACTGGTCTGCTCTGGTCCATACTGGTCTGTACTGGTCTGCACTGGTCCATAGCGGTCTGTACTGGTCTGTACTGGTCCATACTGGTCTGTGCTGGTCCATACCAGTTTCTAGTGGTTTGTACTGGTCTGTACTGGTGGCCGTGTCCCCCCACAGTGGGGGATGGGCACAGTGACCTGCTGCCTGTCCCAGTGTTCCCAGTCCGAGCTGCCGGTGCCATCTGGGACAAGCTCTGGTGCCCCGGTTCACGTCCTGGTGCCCCCCAGAACGGCTCCTGGTGCCCCCCCGAATTCCAGCCCTGGTGCCCCCAAACTCCAGTCCTGGTGCCATCCTGGTGCCCCCTGATTTTGTGTCCTGGTGCCCCCCCGTTCATACCCTGGTTCCGGTCCTGGTGCCCCCTCATTCAAACCCTGGTGCCCCCCAGTTTGTGTCCTTGTGCCCCCCAGTTCCTACCCTGGTGTGCTTCTGGTGCCCCCCAGTTCCAGCCCTGGTGCCCCCCAGTTCCAGCCATGGTGACCCCCCTGGTGCCCCCCCTGTTCGTGTCCTGGTGCCCCCCAGTTCCAGCCATGGTGACTCCCCTGGTGCCCCCCCTGTTCGTGTCCTGGTGCCCCCCAGTTCCAGCTATGGTGACCCCCCTGGTGGCCCCCCGTTCATGTCCTGGTGACCCCCCTGGTGCCCCCCCTGTTCGTGTCCTGGTGCCCCCCAGTTCCAGCTATGGTGACCCCCCTGGTGCCCCTGCAGTTCACCTCCTGGTGCCCCCCAGTTCCAGCTATGGTGACCCCCCTGGTGCCCCTGCAGTTCACCTCCTGGTGCCCCCCAGTTCCAGCTATGGTGCCCCCATTTCATGTCCTGGTGCCCGGCTTGGCACCCCACAGATTTATGGGTTTGCGTTCCCCTTGTGCCCCCCTGGTGCCCCTCAAAACGAGTCCTGGTGTCCCCAAATTCCAGCCCTGGTGTTCCCCCAGATTCATGTCCTGGTGCCCCCCAGGTGCCCCCCTGGTGCTCTGCCAGATTTGTGTCCTGGTGCCCCCCAGATGCCCCTGAGATTCCTGTCCTGGTGCCCCCCAGGCGCCCCCCAGATTCATCTCCTGGTGCCCCCCAGGTGCCCCCCAGATTCATGTCCTGGTGCCCTCCAAGTACCCCCCAGATTCCTATCCTGGTGCCCCCCAGGTGCCTCCCAGATTCATGTCCAGGTGCCCCCCAGGTGCCCCCCAGATTCATGTCCAGGTGCCCCCCAGGTGTCCCCAAATTCCAGCCCTGGTGCTCCTCAGGACAAGCTCTGGTGTCCCCACCTCCAACCTTGGTGCCCCCCAATTCCAGCCCTGGTGCCCCCCTGTGCCCCCCTGGGCCAGGCTGGGGCACGGCGTGTCCCTGTGCCCTCCCTGACCCCCCTGTGCCCCCCAGGCCGGGCTGACCCTGCTGGGGCACCGCGTGTCCCTGCACTACAGCGACCCCAAACCCAAAATCAACGAGGACTGGCTCTGTGCCAAGGTAGGGGCACTGGGGGGACACTGGGGGGCACTGGGGGGACACTGGGGGGCACTGGGGGGACACTGGGGGGCACTGGGGGGACACTGGGGGGCACTGGGGGGACACTGGGGGGCACTGGGGGGACACTGGGGGGCACTGGGGGGACACTGGGGGGCACTGGGGGGACACTGGGGGGCACTGGGGGGACACTGGGGGGTACTGGGAGTGCATTGCAGGGCACTGTGAGGGCATTGGGGAGCACTGGGAGGGCACTGGGGTGGCACTGGGAGGGCATTGGGACACTGGGGGGTACTGGGAGGCACTGAGGGATACTGGGGGACACTGGGGGACACTGGGAGTGCATTGCAGGGCACTGTGAGGGCATTGGGGAGCACTGGGATGGCACTGGGGGACAGTGGGATGGCACTGGGGGACGCTGGGGTGGCACTGGGAGGGCATTGGGACACTGGAGGGCACTGGGAGGACACTGGGGTGGCACTGGGAGGGCATTGGGACACTGGGGGGTACTGGGAGGCACTGAGGGATACTGGGGGACACTGGGGGACACTGGGAGTGCATTGCAGGGCACTGTGAGGGCATTGGGGAGCACTGGGATGGCACTGGGGGACAGTGGGATGGCACTGGGGGACACTGAGGGACACTGGGAATGCATTGAAGGGCACTGGGAGGTCACTGGGGAGAATTTGGGGGGTCCTGAAGGGATTTTGGGGGTTTTGGAGGGGTCCAGTGGGACTTCAGAGGATTTGGAGTGCTGCATTCTTGGGGTGCTGCATTTTTGGGGTGCTGCATTTTTGGGGTGCTCTGAGGGTGGGTTTGGGGGTCCAGAGTGGTTTTGGGGTGGGACAATTTTGGGGTGCAATGATTTTTGGGGTGCTGTGGTTTGGGGAGAGTCTGGGGCAGTTTTGGGGTGCAGCAGTTTTGGGCTGTGACATTTTTGGGCTGTGGCATTTTTGGGGTGCAGTGGTTTTGGGGTACTGTGGTTTTGGGCTGTGACATTTTTGGGATATGACATTTTTGGGGTGCAGTGGTTTTGGGGTGCAGTGGTTTTGGGCTGTGACATTTTTGGGCTGTGGCATTTTTGGGGTTCCCAGTGCGGGGTGCAGAACTTCAAGCGCCGTGAGAAATGTTTCAAGTGTGGCGTCCCCAAAGCCGGTGAGTGACCCCAAATCCTTGGATTTCACCCCAAAACTTTGGAGAACACCCTCCTAAAAGCCCTAAACTGCCCCAAGACTCCCCAAAATTATTGGGGTGCCTCTCAACATGTATGGAACCCCCTGGATTTGTGGGGGAATTGCCGGTTTTGGGGTTCGATCACTGATTTCAGCATTTTTGGGGTTCCTTCACTGATTTTGGGGGTTTTTTTGGGGTTCAGTCCCTGGTTTGGGGTTTTGGGAGAGGAGGTTCAATCCCTGATTTTGGGTTTATTTGGGTTTTCTTGGTGGTTCCATCCCTGATTTGGGGGTTTTTTGGGGTACTTTGGTGGTTTTTGGGGGGTTCAGTCCCTGATTTTGTGGTTTTTTTTTTTGTTCAGACCCTGATTTTGGGGGGCTTTTTGGGTTTTTTGAGGTTCAGTTTCTGATTTTGGGGCTTTTTTGGGGGTTTCAATCTCTGATTTTGGGGTTTTTTTGGGGTGCAGAGGCCGAGCAGAGGGGTCCAGGGGGTCCCCGTCCGGAGCTGGTGCCGGGGGGGGGAGGGGGGCTCCTGCCCCTCCCCCAACCCTACGGCCCCACCCTCGGGGGTCCCCCCGGGGGGTCCCAGGGGGGCACCGAGCCCGGAGCTGACAACGCCAACGACAGTGAGTGTGGCTTTGGGGGTTTGGGGGTGAATTTGGGCATTTTTGGGGGGACTTTTTTTGGATTTTGGTTGGTTTTTTTTTTTTTTTAATTTTGGGGTGGATTTTGGGATTTTTTGGATTTTTTTTTTTTTTTTAGGGCATTTTGGGATGGATTTGAGGGTCCTGGGGGGTTTGGGGGATCTGGGGTCTTTGTGGTGGGGGGCTGAAGGGGATCAAGTGGGACAACTGGAGAGATTCAGGTGGTCCCCAGGTATCCCCAGGTGCCCCCAGGTGTGTCCCAGGTATTCCCAGCTGTTCCCAGGTGTGCCCCCAGGTATCCTGAGGTATCCCCAGGTATCCCCAAGTGTGCCCAGGTGTATCCCCAGGTATCCTGAGGTATCTCCAGGTGCCCCCAGGTATGCCCCCAGGTATGCCCCTGTCCTGAGGTATCTCTAGGTATCTTCAGGTGTGCTCAGGTATCCCCAGGTGTACTCCCAGGTGCACCCAGGTGTGCCCAGGCGTCCCCACTGTCCCCCCCAGCCATCATCCTGCAGAACCTGCACTCCCAGAGCAGCCTGGAGTCCATCCTGGCCGTGCTCACTCCCTTGACCAGGTGCCGGTGCACCCAGGTGTGCCCAGGTGTCCCCAGGTGCGTCCCCAGATGCTCCCAGGTGCGCCCAGGTGTGTCCCCAGGTGTGCCCAGGTGTCCCCAGGTGCGTCCCCAGATGCTCCCAGGTGCGCCCAGGTGTGTCCCCAGGTGTGCCCAGGTGTCCCCAGGTGCGTCCCCAGATGCTCCCAGGTGCGCCCAGGTGTGTCCCCAGGTGTGCCCAGGTGTCCCCAGGTGCGTCCCCAGATGCTCCCAGGTGCGCCCAGGTGTGTCCCCAGGTGTGCCCAGGTGTCCCCAGGTGCGTCCCCAGATGCTCCCAGGTGCGCCCAGGTGTGCTCAGGTGTGATCAGGTGCCCCTAGTTGTGCCTAGGTGCACCCAGGTGTGTCCCCAGGTGCGCCCAGATGTGCTCAGGTGAGCTCAGGTGCCCCTAGGTGTGCCTAGGTGCACCCAGGTGTGTCCCCAGGTGCGCCCAGGTGTGCCCAGGTGTCCCCAGGTGTGTCCCCAGATACTCCCAGGTGCGCCCAGGTGTGCTCAGGTGTGATCAGGTGCCCCTAGTTGTGCCTAGGTGCACCCAGGTGTGTCCCCAGGTGCGCCCAGATGTGCTCAGGTGAGCTCAGGTGCCCCTAGGTGTGCCTAGGTGCACCCAGGTGTGTCCCCAGGTGTGCCCAGGTGTCCCCGCTGTCCCCCCAGCCATCATCCTGCGGAACCTGCACCCCCAGAGCAGCCTGGAGTCCATCCTGGCCGCGCTCGCTCCCTTCGCGGCGCTCTCGGCCGCCAACGTGCGCGTGATCAAAGATCGGCAAACGCAGCTGAACCGCGGCTTCGCCTTCGTGCAGCTCAGCACCATCGTGGTACTGGGGAGACTGGGGGGGACTGGGAGGGACTGGGAGGGACTGGGGGGACTGGGGGTTGTGGTGTGGCACTGGGAGGGACTGGGGGGATTGGGAGAGACTGGGAGGGACTGGAAGGACTGGGAGGGAACACACAGGGATCGTAGAGGGATTGTGGGGGGGTTATCATTGTGGTGGGCACTGGGAGGGACTGGGGGGCACTGGAAGGGACTGGGAGAGATCGAAGGGAACATAGAGGGATTGGGGGGGTTGGGGTCACCATAGTGGTGGGCACTGGGAGGGACTGGGGGTACTGGGAGAGACTGGGAGAGAAGGGTGAGTGCAGTCACCATCGTAGTGGGACACTGGGAGCCACTGGGAGGGCTGGCCACCATCATGGTGGGGGCACTGGGAAGGACTGGGAAGGACCAAGGGGGGTGGCACGACCTGGACCCGGTGCCCCCTGTCCCTGTGCCCCCTGCCCATGCCCCTGCCCTGCCCTGCAGGAAGCTGCACAGCTGCTGCAGATGCTGCAGGCGCTGCACCCGCCCCTGCACATCGACGGCAAGAGCATCAACGTGGAGTTCGCCAAGGGCTCCAAGAGGTGAGGAGGCGTGGCACCCCACCTGGGCGTGGCATCACACCTGGGCGTGGCACCACACCTGGGCATGGCGCCACACCTGGGCATGGCGCCACACCTGGGCGTGGCATCACACCTGGGCGTGGCACCACACCTGGGCGTGGTATCACACCTGGGCGTGGCACTGTGCCTGGGCGTGGCAGCACACCTGGGCATGGCACCACACCTGGGCGTGGCACTGTGCCTGGGCGTGGCAGCACACCTGGGCGTGGCACCACACCTGGGCATGGCGCCACACCTGGGTGTGGCAGCATGCCTGGGCGTGGCATCACACCTGGGCGTGACACCACACCTGGGCGTGGCACCACACCTGGGCGTGGCATCGTGCCAGGGTGTGGCACCACACCCAGGCGTGGCAGCACACCTGGGCGTGGCACCACACCTGGGCATGGCAGCACACCTGGGCATGGCGCCACACCTGGGTGTGGCAGCATGCCTGGGCGTGGCATCACACCTGGGCGTGGCACCACACCTGGGCGTGGCATCGTGCCAGGGTGTGGCACCACACCCAGGCGTGGCAGCACACCTGGGCGTGGCACTGTGCCTGGAATGGGCGCTGCACCCCTCCTGGCATTTTCATACACCTGGCAGAGACCCCGGCCCTTGGCCCCACCCTTGACCTGGCACAGTCGCACACCTGGCACAGGCCCCGCCCACAGCGCGAGCCCCACCCACAGCCCAGTACCTGTGACTTTCTGATCACTTTAAGCCCCACCCAATTCCTTAAGCTCCACCCCATGAGCCCCGCCCCACACATGCCACACCCCACCAAAACATCACGCCCCATTATCAAACGGGCCCCACCCCCACTGCCCTTTGGCCCTGCCCACCCAGCCCCTCCCAGGCCTCAGGCCCCGCCCCTGACACGAAGCTCCACCCCCAGGGACGTGCAGGGGGCGGGGCCTGGGGAGGGGCCCCCCCGCGCCAGCGCCGCCTCCGTCGCCTCCACGGCCATCGCTGCGGCCCAGTGGGCTCTGTCACAGGTGAGGGCAATGTCACAGGTGAGGACACTGTCATAGGTGAGGACACTGTCACAGGTGAGGGCACACCTGGGCAGGTGAGGGCACAGCTGGGCAGGTGAGGGCACTGTCACAGGTGAGGGCACTGTCACAGGTGAGGGCACACCTGTATGGGTGGGCACTGTCACAGGTGAGGGCACACCTGTATGGGTGGGCACTGTCACAGGTGAGGGCACACCTGTATGGGTGGGCACTGTCACAGGTGAGGGCACACCTGTATGGGTGGGCACTGTCACAGGTGAGGGCACACCTGTATGGGTGGGCACTGTCACAGGTGAGGGCACACCTGTATGGGTGGGCACTGTCACAGGTGAGGGCACACCTGTATGGGTGGGCACTGTCACAGGTGAGGGCACACCTGTATGGGTGGGCACTGTCACAGGTGAGGGCACACCTGTATGGGTGGGCACTGTCACAGGTGAGGGCACACCTGTATGGGTGGGCACTGTCACAGGTGAGGGCACACCTGTATGGGTGGGCACTGTCACAGGTGAGGGCACACCTGTATGGGTGGGCACTGTCACAGGTGAGGGCACACCTGTATGGGTGGGCACTGTCACAGGTGAGGGCACACCTGTATGGGTGGGCACTGTCACAGGTGAGGGCACACCTGTATGGGTGGGCACTGTCACAGGTGAGGGCACACCTGTATGGGTGGGCACTGTCACAGGTGAGGGCACACCTGTATGGGTGGGCACTGTCACAGGTGAGGGCACACCTGTATGGGTGGGCACTGTCACAGGTGAGGGCACACCTGTATGGGTGGGCACTGTCACAGGTGAGGGCACACCTGTATGGGTGGGCACTGTCACAGGTGGGTGAGGCTGTGGGGTGTGGCCTGGGGCGTGGTTTAAACCTGAGGGGCGGGGCCCGAGGGGAAGGAGGTGTGGCTTGCTTGCTGTGGGCGTGGTTTCACATTGAGGGGGTGTGGCCAGAGCTGTGCCCGCCCACCCTTTTTAAAAAAGCTCATTAGTGGTTTTTTCTGTTTCTGTTAAAGTGTTTCAAATAGTATTTTGTGTGTTTAGTCTCAAATGCTTGCTGTTTTTAATCTATGTTATGATTTTTAAAACTGCAAACTTTATAGTTTGTATTGATTTGTTACAAAATAGTTAATTGATGTTTTTTACAAAGTCTTTTAGAATATCCTGTTGACAAGTAACAAATTATTTTTGTTTTTGACTTAATAATTAATCTTTTTGTGTTACGTATAGAGTTTTGAATTATTTAAATTGAGTTATGTATATTAAAAGACTTCAAATTAAGCTCAAATAATTTAAATTTTAATTACATAAATACGTTTATTTTTGCATATGTAAGTACATATATGTTTATTATATAACATAATTTTGTTTGGAAGGGTTTTATTTTCTTGTAAGTCTGTATTTCTGTGTTCAAAAGGTTTAAACTTTTTTAAATCTGGAATTCTCCCACCCCCCCCCAGGCAGCCCCCGGCGGTGACGCCCCCTGGGCCGGGGGGGAGGAGCCCAGCGCTGACTTCAGCGGCTTCTACCAATCAGAGGAGCCCTTCCCCGGGCCTGGCCCCGCCCTCTACAGCCCCGCCTACCTGAAAGGAGCCTCGGCCCCGCCCCCCGGGCCCGCCCTGCCTGGCCCCGCCCCTGCCAAGGCCGACGGCCCCGCCCCCGGTGAGTGCTGCCACCAAAGCAGGTGTGGGCCCTGTCCCCAGGTGTGACCGTCTGTCACC